AGTTGGTCTGGGTGAGAAGGATCAGGAAGCAGTATTGGTTCCCCAGGTGTCTGGGGCCCCAAGACTAGGAATGGCGCAGGTCCCAAACTGGGAGTAGCAAACAGCAGGGGAGATGGAAGGGTGAATGTGGCTTGGGGAGTCAAGGCACAGAGGGCTGCGCTATAGACTTATCCCAAGAGGCCTGAGGATAGGAGTCAGCCAGTACTTTTAAGCACTGAGCCATCTCTCCAACCCCAAAGTTCAAAATTATAAATAAGCATAAGTTGATTTATAATCAAGACCACAAAGTTGAATACCAAGTTGAATATGCTTATTTTGGTGTTTTGACCCTACTACATGATGTATATAATTATAATTTAAAGCATTTAAATTACCTGTAAAAACGTAGCAAGATGAACCTTTCATAGATACCCAGCCTATTTAACACATTAGTGGCATGCAAGCTCTGCATTTGATTTCCATTAATATAAACTGAGAGACTCTCAGCAAAGTAGATTTTTAATACTTTGCATGCAAACAGTTGGCACCTCATACAGCACTTTGTCACTTGCTTCCAATTCAGATATCTTCCTGTGCAGAAAAAAAATAATTATTTGTATGACTTATGACTGTAAGTATGTGTGAGACATTGCATATTCTACACATCTCATTAATACATTAATATTGCATTCCTGTTGATTAAATCATGATATCAATTTAAAACTATTCTGAGGTAAAATATTGTAGCAAAAACTATACATCTACCATCTTGTGTTTTTAGCACTAAATTACTTAATTCAGAATAAAAGACTAGGAGAACTATCTTACTCACAGTTTTTATTTTGCCATGAAAGAAAATAAAATTGTTATTATATTAAGAGCTGTCAAAGAACATACCCAGAGTTTGCTTAAAGTTTGTTTTTCTGATAAGGGACTAACAGCAGAAGCAGTGAGTGCCGCCATTCCCTTGATGTCTGAGGTGCTGGTACCAAATCCACAAACACTCAGGTCCTTTATACAACCTGTGTATATCCTTCTGTGCATTTTTAAATCATATCTAGATTGTTTATAATATCTACTATGTTGTAAATGGTATGTAAATAGCTTTTAACTTGTATTGTTTAAAGAATAATGACCCAAAAATTCTGTTCAGTACTAATGCACTTTTTTCCAAATATTTTTCTATCTGCAATTGATTGAGTCCACGGACACTACAAACCATCTGGGCCTCTGAAGTTGATTTTTGCTTGCACTCTTTCTCAGTTTTTACCTATTCAGGCTAATTTGCATGTTCCTAGAGTGATTAGACATTCCATAATTTCTACCAATCAAGTAAAAGAAAGAAAATTATGAGCTTCTCGCCCAGTGAAGAGGTAGTTTACTGTGCTTGAAAGTAATGCAGATTTTGCAGCAACAAGTATTAATATTTTCATTTATTATACATAACTGAAAGTTTGGGAAATTAGGAATTGAGTGCTTCATTTGAGAATTTATTGACAGCTACTTACTATAAGAGACTTTATATTTTTCTCTCTGTTATAATCAATTTATTTCACTCTTCATTTTGACATTTAAAGTATATGTATGGTTACTTTTACTATAAAATATATTTTGTTCTTTTCAGTGTTTGAGCAACACACCTCCACTTACTGAATATTTCCTCAATGATAAGTACCAAGAAGAACTGAATTTTGACAATCCCTTAGGAATGAGAGGTGAAATAGCTAAGTCATATGCTGAACTCATCAAACAAATGTGGTCTGGAAAGTTTAGCTACGTCACCCCAAGAGCCTTTAAGGTTAGTGTGGTAAACACGTTTTCAACAAGGGTGATGTCCCCCAAAGTATCAAAAAAATGATCTCCAGGTGGGTGGGATGAAAAAATCTTAGCTATTTACTACAGTGGCTTCTGGTCTTCCCAAAACAGTATGTAAATAGTTATATCTCTGTGGTATAAAACTCAGGGCAGTGGGCAGGATCAGTGATTAAGGTTTTTTGGTTGATCGGTTGGTCAGTCGGTTGGTTGGTTGGTTTAATTGTTAAGAAATTGGCTGGAGAAAGCTCAGCAATTAAGAGCTCTTTCTGCTCTTGCCGAGGATGACCTAAGCTTGGTTTCCAGCATCCGCATTAGGTAGCTTCCAACCTCCTATAACTCCAGCTCCAGGGGACCCTATACTGCCTTCTGGCCTCCACAGGCACCTGCACTCATATATGCATTGCACACACACACACACACACACACACACACACACACTCGTAATTAAAAATGAAATAGGTTTTGTTTTTTTTTTAAGTCTGAAAAGATTCTAGAAATAAGAGGGAAAGAATGAGAAGGGGAAAAAAATCTTGAAAGTCAATAATAAAAGAACGGCTTTAGAATATCTCTGAAAACTCTATGTGAGTCTTTTAGTGATATAAAAAGCTACATTTGGGTAAGTCACTTAAGTTTTTAAGTAATCCAGTCTGTTTTTATAGTCATTATAGTTTTAAAAAATTATCAAAATGAAACTTGTTTGCAAGACAGCCACTAAGCAGTAATTAACTGTAGTTTAGAGATAAGAAGCTATTTTAGTCCATTGTTTTTAGAGTTTAAATGGGATTCCTAGAACTGTTGTAAAATGTTTTGTTAATTATTATAAACTAGTTTTTAAGAAACGAGAGTCACTGGGTGTGGTAGAGCAAACTAGTCTACATAGCCTGTTCCAGACCAGGCATGGTTACAGTGAGACACCCTGCCCTCCTTCCCCCTAAAAGTGGATCCCCTGGCCTCCATACACATGCATACACACACACACACACACACACACACACACACACAGAGTAAATAACTATAAATAAGAGCAAAATAAAGAGTAAGAAGCAAGCAGCAAATTAAACTATGCCTGTATTTCTTCTTTAGCATTCTAAACCTTGAACAATCTTGTGCAGACACGCCATCCCTCGATAGTTTCATTTTGCCAGATTTTCTGTTTAAATTTTGTATGCCTATATACATCTTCATGACTGTTTTCTTTAATTCATGTTGTATTTCTTTTAAGTCTTATAAAAAATGCTTAGTACTACAAAGAAAAATGAACAGGAACATTCTTGTTAGCTCTGAGATTTGTCCTTTAACAGTAACAGTTAACTGAGATTTGTAGTTTTTCTCTAGTGATCCAGAGCAAAATCTTACTAATCTTTAAGTATTCAGTATTTCCAAATATCTTTTTTTAATATTTTATTATTTATTTTATGTGTACAAGTGTCTGGATATGTGTAAGTGCACCCATGTCATGCAGTGCCCACGGAGTTCAGAAGAACGTATTGAGTTCCCCTGAGACTAGAGTTACAAACAGTTGTTAGCTGCCATGTGGGTGCTGTAAATCAAATCTGGGTCCTCTGTAAGAGCAACCGTCATCTCTCCAGCCCCTCCTAATATCTTAGAAAAATATTTTCTCCTTATTCTGTCCTCAAGTCAACAAGTTTTGGATCTTATAAAATGATTTTTTCAAAGTACTTTGAGATATAGTTAATCTTTACATAATAATGTATCAAGGATGACAATTTGTCTCTTGTCTGCTTGTCAGTTGGAAGACCTAGAGCTAAATTAATAATGTCAGAACTCTTTAGACAGACAGTGAAATAGCAATTAATAACAAGTAAATCTAAGACCAAATAGTGGTTAATACATGATTTATATATGTATGTGTGGGTTGTTGTTTTTTGTTTTGTTTTTTTTTTTTCATTTTATTTTATTTTGACATGGAGTCTTGCTGTATTGCCTGAGCTGGTCTCAAATTTCTGGGCTCAAGCATTTCCTCCACTTGGCTTCCTGAGTACTGGGACCATGGACTTGAACCACTATGCCCAGCTAGATACTTTAGGTTTCATGTATTGGTTTATTTTGTCCCATATAAGATTCACTGCCTGTGTACTGGGAATGCAAAGCAAAAAACTATATATGACACATATGTGATATATATATATAATATTTATGTTTTATTTACTGTTTATACATATATAACATGTTTATATTTGTTCCTATTTTATATAGTCAGCTTTCATCATTTACAGGTTATTTTCCATAAAATTAATACAAAATTAACAAATATAAAACAATATTTTTAGGAAAAATTCAGGATTTGATTTCACCAAACCTGTGGTCAAATTTCATCAACCAGTCAGTTCATGATTTGTTTTACGTGTGCTTCTGTTTAAAAACTCCACATTTATTATGTATTGTTGATTCATAGCCAACAATACTGTACCTTATCACTTAACAAAATTTATCTAATTGTATTTTTCCCATGAGGTACATTACCATCCCTTACATTTATGAACTCTAGTTACCACTTTAGTAATATGCTTAAGGACCATAACAAATAACCAGCTGTAAAAAAGCACAAAATTGGACTGGAGAGTTGGCTCAGTGGTTAAGAGTACTGGCTGTTCTTGCAGAAGATCCAGGTTCTAATCCCATTATGTACATGGCAGCTAACAATCATCTGTAACTCCTGTTCCAGGGGATCTAATGCCCTCTTCTGACGTCAGACACTGCAAGACATGGGTGCACTTACACACATCAGGCATAACACTCATACACATAAAATTAATAGTTTTTTAAGAAAACACAAAATTGTGAATAAAAAAATATAGCACTTTAAAAAAATTACAAAATGATCCTGAAATAAAGCAGTGTAGCCTTATTCCCAAATGGGATTATGTATGTCACATGACAAATTTGTCACCAGAGAGCTCATCAAATGATTGAAAGTGTGTCACAGTTTTATTTGGGGGTTACAAATAGTTTTTAATAGGCACATTCACAAATTCATGAATGAGAATCAACAGTATGCTTTTTCAAACATCCTGTCCCCAGCTGATTTTATGGTTTACTTTTCTTCACAGACACAAGTAGGACGCTTTGCACCTCAGTTCTCTGGATATCAACAGCAGGACTGTCAAGAACTGTTAGCTTTCCTCTTAGATGGACTTCATGAGGATTTGAACAGAATTAGGAAAAAACCATACATACAACTAAAAGATGCTGATGGAAGGCCAGACAAGGTAAATAAATTTCATGCAATTATTGTCACCATTGTTGTCATTTTCTTACATCTCTTGGTAACTTGTGTTTATTTTCCTTGTAGGTGGTCGCTGAAGAAGCCTGGGAAAACCATTTAAAAAGAAATGATTCTATCATAGTAGATATATTTCATGGCCTTTTCAAATCAACGTTAGTGTGTCCTGAGTGTGCTAAGATTTCAGTAACGTTTGATCCTTTTTGTTACTTGACACTTCCATTGCCCATGAAAAAAGAACGTAGCTTGGAAGTTTATTTAGTTAGGATGGATCCACTTACTAAACCTATGCAGGTAAATTATGATTCTTTTCTTTGCAATTATTGTTTATATTTAAACATTAGTGATGAGACTATTATAAAAAATGTTGGATTCTCTGGCCCAATTCAGTAATAAAGTTCATTTATGTAAGAGATTTTATCAAGTATTTTGGAAATTAGCATAACTTTTTAGAATCTTGAAAAACTAAAATTGTCATTGAAAAAATTCTCAGGTATCTTTCTCACCATCAGAGAAAACTGAGATCTTTGGTTTTACAATATTGGAATGAATATTAGCTTAGAAAGATTATCAATAGGTTCTAGATTTTTCTGTCTTGACAGTTTTTTGTGTCGATGGTAATTTTTTTTCTTATTCACTTTTAGAAGTAAAACTAATGCTGTATTTCATAAATCATGATATGATGATGTATTTAAATATCTGTGATTTTCAAGTATTTCAATAACTTAGAAAATAAATAAAAATTTAGTATAAAAATACTTGGTTTGGGGCCAATGGGATGGCTCAGCAGGTAAAGGTACTTTTACTGAGCCTAACAACCTGAGTTCAATCCCTGGGACCCATAGGGTAGGAGAAAATCAACTTCCACAAGTTGTCCTAGGACCTTCAAGTGCACAGTGTAAACATAAACATGAATAAATAAATAAATAAATAAATAAATAATGAAAAATTTTAAACTATTTTTAGAATTGACTCCCTTCAGTGCTTTGAAGTATTATATTTTGCTTATTCTATGCAAAATCCCCGTGGTACATATTAATGATAGTTGTCTGCCAGATTCCATCGCCTTGTGCTCTAACTGGATTTCTTAGTGTTCTATAAGCAGAACACTGCATTTTCTACCTTTTAAAATTGGTTGTTCCTGGGGCTGGAGAGATGGCTCAGTGGTTAAGAACACTGGCTGTTCTTGCAGAAGACCCGGGTTCAAATCCCAGCACCCACATGGCAGCTAACAACTGTCCGTAACTCCAGTCCCAGGGGATCCAACAGCCTCTTCTGTCCTCTATGGGCATTGCACGACATGAGTGCACTTACCTACATGCAGGCGTAACACTCATACACATAAAAATAATAAATAAAATATTTTTTAAAGTGTTCCTTTCATATTTGACCCCTTCCAGTGAAAGGAGCTCCTTCCACTTCTATCCTTTATTCCTCTAAATTCTGTTGCAGCACTTAACAAATTTTATTTTGACATTTAATTTACCTTTATCTTTTCTTACCTACCAGGATCTTTGCAGAGGCAGCTTATAAATCTTGTGCTTCCAGTGCTGTGATTTGTAGATGTTGATGCAGAAGTATCCATAATTTTTTCACCCAAATAGTTATTGGGCACCTACTGAATGTAGGTGTTCATGAATGGCAGAGTCGGTTCCTACTTTAAAAGATTGTTTTCAATAAATTTTTAGGTTACAATTCAGTCAAATATCTCAAATTTGGTTTTGTATGACAGAAATGAAATCTATGTGAAAGGTTTCCTTTGAACAAAATTGTCTTACTGGAAAGTGTTGGGGTTTATTCTTAATAAGAACAGTCTATGAAGTATTCCTAAAAATAAGAGATTGTGTCTTCAAAGTAACTAAAGAATTGTTGAGATGAGCTATGTGCTGACTGAGTCATGTGCATTTGAGAAATTGTTTTACTGTTTCTTTATGTATTTCCTTCATGAACTGATTGAGCCTAGTGCCTTCATGTCAGTATTCTTTCGGGCCCTACTGAGTACTTGTCCTTATCTGTGAACAGAGCCAATAAAGATCTGCTTTTACTTTTGGCTAAGAATATGTGTTCTGTTTCGAAACTCAAATCTTTAGGATAGTCACTTATTAACTTGTTTGGAGGCACTGGATCGTCTATATTCTTTTCAGTGAAGAGAAACTTCAGAAGTGCTAAAGTACACCCTTAGCTCTATTTTTGCAGCTATGCAGGAATATACCAGTGGAGCCAGGGACTTTAGAAAAATAAGTAAAAATGTATTGCAACAACAAATGTGGATGCCATATTCCTTTATAGCACATTATTAAAGTCAGTACTCTCCATGGCAACAATAGCATGTCTATTATGTGATTGCAGACTGCATTCAAATTGCATATTAGCCTATAAGATATGGACTGAGTGTTCTGTTTGATGTGAGGTCAGTTTTGGGGTTTTTTGTTTTGTTTTGTTTTGTTTTGTTTTCGTCTTTTTGAGACAGGGTCTCCCTGTAGCCCCAGCTTTCCTGGAACTCACTATGTAGACCAGGCTGGCCTTGAACTCACAGAGATCTGCCTGTTGGGATTAAAGGCATGTGCCACCATACCCGCCTGTGAGGTCAGTTTTGAAGTAATAGGAATTTTACTGATTATTTCATTTCCTACTTGGTTACCAAGAATATCAGTTTTGTCTATTTAAGAACTTTGATCAACGCAGAGAAATTCAGTGTTTTGTTTTTGTTTTTCACTTGGAAGCAATAACAACTTAAGTACAAAATTATGTGCTTGTTAATGTTGTGAATTAACCAGCTAGCAAAGAAGTAAAATTAACTTCATTATTTTAGTTTTCCTATCATTTAGATTGATTTGGGTAACAGAAATTTCTTAATTATATCGAATATGATGGTGCAAGGTCCTAGAAATATGAAAGTGTTTGTAGCTCTTGTTCTTCTTCTCAAGAAACTTGCTAAATGGTGTAAAAAGTACTATGACAGGGCATTGGAAGAGTTCACAGAAATATGGGCAGCATGGCACAGGCTAGCCAGCAGTGAGGCCTGAAAAATGACTGAGTGACACACAAATGAAAACTGGAAATAAAGGCAGCTTAGGCCAAGAAAATGACAGGCACAAAGTTCTGAAGACAAAAGGGGGTATGGCCCATCAGTCACAAAGATGCCAAGACCAGAATGTTAAACTTCATCATAAAGACTTGGAGAACCATTGAAAGTTATTAAGTATTCAAATTAAAAAATAAGATATTTGTTTTTTAAAAGGGGGGGCTAGAGAGATGGCTTAGTTATGAGCACTGACTGTTTTTGCAGAGGACCTGAATTCAGTTCCCAGCACCCACATGCAGCTCAGTGGTAAAATAGTTGCACAGCATGCTAACGACCTGGAGTTCAATCCCTAGCATAGGAAATTTAATGCCAAGATTGCAGTTTGATAGAACTAGTTGATTATGGGAAAGAAAAAAAGGTATAAATATATTCAAAGATGATGCCAAGTTTCCTGGGCTACAAAATTGAGGAGATAGTGATAAAGTGAAAGAGAGAAAGAGAGTTGGGGGGAGGGTGTCTCACTATGTAACTCTGGTTAACCAGGATTCATTCTATAGACTAGGCCTGCCCAAAATTCCAGAGATCCACTTGCCTCTGTCTTCCAAGTGCTAGGATTAAAGGCATGTGCCACCATGCCCAACATTATTTTTGTTTAGATTATTTTATATTATGCAGAAAGTACAAGAAGAAACCTGTTTTAATATTGGGCATTGTGACTTAGCATGACCTAAACCTTTGTTTATTGTTATACCTGTTGACTTTGAGGTACAAGAGAAAAATGGAGATTATGATACTCAATACTCAATAGGTTTATGTATTTAGACTGAAGAGAGACTACTTGAGTTTTGAACTGAGCAATAGGTTCTGGAAGAAGATAATTAAAAAGAAATTTTTATAGGGAAAGCAGGGAAAGGCTTTTTAGTTTTTTGAAAGGCTTGTATGTATTCCAGTGCTTATACAAAAGAGTCAAAATAGATGGAAGAAGGTGGGTTTAGGTCTCAGAAAAAGCAGAAGACAAAATTCAGAGCCTAGGTGCTAGGGTTGATTTTGAAGGGAAGAAAGCTGTGTATCTTCCCAGAGTTTCTAAAGGAAAAGCAGACTTCTGAGTTCAGGTAAGTTTATAAGGCGGCATGAACTTAAGAACATTTCCAATTCAGGCAGCTTCACTGTTCAAAAATGGTAAAATGAGTGTTCTTTGGATAGTGCAGAAATGATGAAATGGGAATCCTAAAGAATAGTGAACATTTTGAATAGTTATAAAATAAGTAAGTGACACACAGAATTATGTCTGGGCCATGTTGAAGTAGCTCTTGAAATTGGACATTTTTAGCACACCAGCCACTAAAATTTAGAAATTTTCTCTAGTGTATCTGAATAGCTGAGAAACTTCAGCAAGAATATAAATGAGTAACAAAGAGGTTAAAGATTTTTGCCCTAAAATGATTGAAATAGTAAGAATGTAGGGTCTAGGCGAAAGAACACCAAGACAATAGAGAAACACTGTCATAAGGACTAGAAACCTTTACACAAAGCAGTATTACATAGGAAGCAAGAAGTAACAGTCACACTGTAACCTGTTAGAGCTGAAGATACTAGAGCTGAAACTTCCAGGAAGTTGACAAGTATAAGTCTTTGAACTGATGAACCAAAGTACAGTAAAACTAAGGATAGCCAGGTGTGGTGGTACATGCCTTTAATCACGGCACCCAGGAGGCAAAGACAAGCAGATCTCTATGAGTTCAAGGCCAGCCTAGTCTATATAGCAAGTTCAGGCCAGCTGGGGCTACAGAGAGACACTGTCTCAAAAAAAAAATATATATATATATATATAATCTATGGACATTGTCACCCAGGTAGTGGCACAATTTGAGGCCTCAATGTTTTTTCCAGTGTAATAAATTCATTACAATTTTTGTTTGTTTTTTAGTACAAAGTTATTGTGCCCAAAATTGGAAATATACTAGATCTTTGTACAGCACTGTCTGCTCTGTCAGGAGTGCCTGCAGATAAGGTAAGATGTTTCTGAGATTGAAGTATGTGAGTTGGTGTTTAGTTTCTTGGTGTTGTAAAACCAGCTTAATAGAAATTTATTTCCTTTTAGATGATAGTTACTGATATATACAATCATAGATTTCACAGAATATTTGCCATGGATGAAAACCTTAGTAGTATTATGGAGCGGGATGATATTTATGTGTAAGTATAAACTTCTTTTTATGGTCTACTGCTTGAGGAAAAAATGGAAAGAAATAACATTTTGAGAGTTTATGGTCATTTCTGTTCTTGGTAGGTTTGAAATTAATATCAACAGGACAGAAGACACAGAACATGTGGTGATTCCTGTTTGCCTAAGAGAAAAGTTCAGGCATTCAGGTTATACCCACCATACTGGCTCTTCACTTTTTGGTCAGCCTTTTCTTATGGCTGTTCCACGAAACAATACTGAAGATAAACTCTATAATCTCCTACTTTTGAGAATGTGGTAAGTGCCAAATAAGTCTACATATACTAAGTAAATATGAGAATAAAATATTAAGTAGCTAATAAAAGTAATTGTGCAAGGTACTACCAGAATGTAATTAAGCAAGTATGTATGTTTCAACTTCGTTTAGACAGGTGGCAAGTTTAGAAATCAGAATACAGCCAGGAATGGTGGTGACACACACCTGTAATCCCAGCATGTAGAAGTTAAAGGCAGGAAGATCAGCAGTTCTAAGCCAGCCCCGGGGTTAGAAAGATGGTTCAGTGGTTAAGAGCTCTGGCTATTCTTGCAGAGGACCTGGGTTCGGTTCCCAGTACCCACTTGGTGGCTAACAACCGTCTCTAACTCCAGTTTCAGGGGGTCTGATGCCTCATTCTGACCTCCATGGGCATTGCACAGCACAGATGCACTTACTACATACATGCAGGCAATACGCTTATACACATAAAATGAAAATAATAATAAATTTTTTTTAAAGTTCTAGTAGCCTCATCTACATAGCAAATTGGAGGTCAGCCTAGGTTACATGAGACACTGCTTCAAAATATCAAAGATAAGTAATAAAATCAAATTACAGTCTGATCTCCTGTCTTGGTAACATAAAATACATTACCAAGGTAATTTAAAATCCAGAAAGCATGATTTAGCTGTTTTATGCCAAAAAGTTTATAGTTAGGGGGAAGTTTTAGTTGACAAATAACTATAATACAAGTATAAACTCAGAAATCATAGCAACTGTCAAGTGGTCCATTTGTTGTACATAGAACTAGCACACAAACTCATGATAGTTTCATTTAAAACAGCTGTCTCACAATTTTGTTTTGCCTTATGAACCTTAATTTGAATAAAGTAATGACAGATACCATTTGATACCTTTTATCCTTCACAGCTGATGTGTTTTGTATTCTTAAACATCCAATCATTAGAATTTCATGGTACATGCATAAAGATCATACTACACAAATGCAAGCTGTTCCCAGCAGCAGTATGTATCATCTAAATGGGCATCATTCATTTAAAAAACAAAGCAAAAAACTTGCTTTTAAGTTGAGAAATCATTTGTCATGCACTTTTAATATATAAACCATGTAAAACCTGGACCAACAGGACAGGAGGTGAGGGTTCTTGCCACCAAGCCAAGCCCAGCAACCTGAGTTCAGTCCCTGAGTCGACATGCTGAAAGAGGAGAGCTAGCTTAGACAAGTTACCTGTAGCCCTCCACACCCATGCTGTAGCGTGCACAGACACACACAGATCAATCAATAAAAATGTAATCAAAAGTTTTTTAAACATGCAAAACCCTAGAATTGAAAGGTTACTACTGTATCTGAAAACAACCAAAATATAAATTATTAGTCAGTTGTACTTAGAGTGCTATATCTTGGGTTTTAATTTACTTTCAGACCTCCCAAAATGACTTCTTTTACTGCACTAAAATGGTTTTATTGGTGAAATAGAAAACTTAGTTTTTTAAGTCTTCTTAGAACTAACTTGTCTATTACTAATTTTATTTAAGCCGATATGTCAAGATATCTACTGAAACTGAAGAAACAGAAGGATCCCTACATTGCTGTAAAGACCAAAATATTAATGGGAATGGCCCGAATGGCATACATGAGGAAGGCTCACCAAGTAAGACTTTCCTGTTAAGTCAGAAAAATTCCTGACTTACGTAGTATTGCCCCAGAGAAGTTAAGATGAGGATTTATTTTTTGAATCAGCAGATAGGGAAAAGTACTATTAGTAATTTAAAATTTTAATATGAAGTTTATTTAAAGATCTCTAATATCTAAACTTAGGTGAAATGGAAACAGATGAACCAGATGATGAATCCAGCCAGGATCAAGAACTTCCCTCAGAAAATGAAAATAGTCAGTCTGAAGATTCAGTTGGAGGAGATAATGATTCTGAAAATGGATTGTGTACTGAAGAAACTTGCAAGGGTCAACTCACGGGACACAAAAAGCGATTGTTTACATTCCAGTTCAACAACTTAGGCAATACTGATATCAATTACATCAAAGATGATACCAGGCATATAAGATTTGATGATAGACAGCTTAGGCTGGATGGTGAGTATTTGTGAAAAAATCGCTTGACCACTTAAATTTCAGCAGAGCAAAGATTTTTTTGGCTGAAACCCATGCAATTCAGCCCTGTCGTGAAAAATGCCTGTACTTTTCTAATTGTTCAATCAAAAGCCTTAATGCCTCCATGTATTAAGTGAGGTTCGATTTATGCTTAAGCTTTGGGTCATTTTTTTAAACTTTCAGCTTATTTCAGTGTCTTAATCACCTAGTACAAGTAGGAAAGCTTGCTCTTCGCTTTTCTCTGACTTATATGCCAGCATATTAAAATAGGCTATTGTAACACTAAAATTTATGACATTTTAAAGAAGTAATATGTTTTCTACCTTAGAAAGATCTTTCCTCGCTCTGGACTGGGATCCTGATTTGAAAAAGAGATACTTTGATGAAAACGCTGCTGAAGTGAGTCTTCGTCTCTGCCTCCCGACCTTTTCCTGACTTTGTGGACTCGGATTGCTACAGTTAACCGTGCTTTTCTATCACACTCTTGCTTTCACTCCTTGTATTGATTTTTCCCAGCAAAACTAATCATGAACCTTTTCTGTTTTTTTAAGGTAGTGGGTGGTTTTGAGCATGCGTTTTGTTTCTGTGTTTTAGTCATACATATAGTTTTATTCAGGAGTTACTGTAATATAAGTCTCAGATGAAATAAGCTTTTTTATTCTTCTGAAAAAAATTAGGAGTTTTCATTATTACTTATAGTAAGATGGCATCACTAAAATGAATTTTGTTTCATTTGTTCTCTTAACTCAAGAAATACTTCTCTTTAGGATTTTGAAAAACATGAAAGTGTGGAATATAAACCTCCAAAAAAACCCTTTGTGAAGTTAAAAGATTGCATTGAACTTTTTACCACAAAAGAGAAACTAGGTGCTGAAGATCCCTGGTAAGAAGCAAAGTTAAATGACTTTTTCTAATTGTTGTCTTTAAAGATTTATTCTGACATGTGCTATATCACGTTGTAGAACTGCTACTAAGATTTTTTGATATTTAATATGATTTGTTAATGAAAATCTCATGACTTTTCTTTAATTAAACCCTAAATGTCAGTAAATCAAAAAATACTCTCAAGAAGTAGGATAAAGTGTTTGCAAGACTTATAAATAACAATTGATAGCCATATTGTATAATGAATTTGTAAAAATCAAATTTAGAAAAAACATCAAAATTTATATTTAAAAGAATATTTACCAGAGTAGAAATATAAATGGCCAAGTGGAAATTTAGAAACTGTGCTCAGCAAAACAGTTATTTGAACACAATATACCTCGGGACTGGAAAGATGGCTTAGCAGTTAAGAGCACTGACTGGTCTTGCAGAGGACCTGGGTTTGATTCCAAGCACCCACATGGCAGCTATGAACTGGGCTTAACTCCAGTTCCAGGGGAATCCAAAGCCCCCTTCTGACCTCTGCAGCGTTGCATGACACAGGTGCACTCACATGCATGTAGGCAATACACTCATACACATAAAATAAAAATAATATTAAACACAATGAATCTCTATAACCACTAGACTAATAAAAACTCAAAATCATCTGGTAATATCTTAGCACTTGGAAGATACAGAACAACAAAGTCTAAATTGCCATTCATGAAGCAGTTTAACAGTCTATAATAGCAAATACCACAAACAACCTGGAAGTGAAGTGGACGAATAGAGTTATACATTCAAACAGGAAAAGGCTATATAGTATTTAAAATTATTGAACTACAGATATATACAGATGGGAAAACTCCAAAAGTACAATATTCAATGAAAAGGTTATAAAACATGCATACATTGTATGATCCCATTGTATGCAATATTATACTATGTACAACAATACCATATCATTTGTGGTTAGTAGGCTTTTTTATTGGTATTTATTTTGCCTACATGTGTGTAAGTGCACCCTTGCATGCAATGCCTGTAGAGGCCAGAAGAGGCTATCAAATCCCCTGCCACTGGAGTTACAGACAGTTAGCCACCATGTGGGTAGTGGGAACCAAACCCAGGTCCTCTGCAAGAACAGCCTTTGCTCATAACTGCTGAGCCATTCCTCCAACCCCTGTGGTTAATGCTTTTCAGTAAATGTAAAAATCTTTAAGGAAGCAATAAATTTTTTAATATTTTCAATAATATTTTTTATGTAATAAGCCACGGTCTGAAGAGGGATGCTAGTAGCTTTAAAGGTATTCTTACAAGGGTAAGCTTTAATCTCATTACCACATTTCCCCTAATAGCTGTTTTGATATTAGTATTACAGTTGCTAAGAATGTTTATGCAACCATTTGAGGGCAGCTTTTTAGGAAAATCACAGTAATGCATTTTGTGATACCATTTCATTAGATCCTAGAAGTTTTGAGATTATTTTGTTTGTTGTGCTGGGGCTCAAACCCAGGGCCTTGAGCTTGCTAGACAAAACTCTCATCACTGAGATATATTCCCAACTCCTTGAGATTTTCTAATACCTATATCTAAATACACATTTGTAATGCATTCATCTTTTTAGCATACTAAAATGTAAGTAATCCAGTACTCGTCACTTCTTTGAATATTTATTTGTATTTTTATGATGTTTAAGCTTATTCAAAAAAATATATGAGATAAAAATAATTATAAGGAATTGCTTCCAGGCTCATATTTATTAGTCATACAATAATAGCTTGCTAATAAAATGCAGAGCTTCCCAAACATTGATTTTTTTTCTTTTTTATTTTCATTAGTAGGAATTTTTGTTTATATGTACCTGCATTAAATTTTAAATATGTCTTTTTTTATAGGTATTGTCCAAATTGTAAAGAACATCAGCAAGCCACAAAAAAATTAGATTTATGGTCCCTGCCTCCAGTACTTGTGGTACATCTCAAGCGATTTTCTTATAGTCGATATATGAGAGACAAGTTAGATACTTTAGTTGATTTTCCTATCAAGTAAGTTTAAACTGTACTAAATAAGCACTGGACATTGTTTTTTAAACTTATATGATGATATTTGTCTTAGTAAATATCAGGCACAGTTGGATCCAATTTAAACTTTTAAATTTACCTTTGAGTAGTTCTAATAATTTGAAAGGATTAACGCTTCACTTTTTTTAAGAGATTTTTTTTCCAAGATCAAAAAATATAAATGTGCTTGTATTTTAAAGATACAGTGTAAACTGGGCATGGTGGCACATGCCTTTAATCCCAGCACTCCGGCGACAGAGCCAGGTGGATCTCTGAGTTCAAGGCCAGCCTGGTCTACAGAGGGAGTTCCAGGACCGCTGGGGCTACAGAGAGACCCTGTCTCAGAAAGACGGAAAAAAAAAAAAGATACAGTGTAGCTTATTTTGTATTGTTTTACCTTGGGGATTCTTGTCAAATTTATAATTCTTAGATACCTTTTGGGCTTAATAGTTCTGTTTTTCCTAGAAATTATTTCATCATCATTCATTAAGTCCTAAGTATGCTTTTCTAAAAAGACTAAAATAATATAAAAGTAGAAAAAGAGACCTGCTTTGCAGGGTAATGTTAGAATAAAATGTCAGTCATTATCCTTTATGCTTCCTTATTATATAGTATGACATATTTATAGATATAAGAGGTCTGAAGACCACATCTTTGTAGTCTGTTTTCGTTTTTTAGCTTTCACTACACAAAATTGAAAGGTGAGAAAGACAGAAAGTGAGCATTACTTTTTCATTCATTTAGTTAGTTATTCAGCAAGAAGGGATTTGCACAATATTTTGCGGCAAGAACAAGATAGTATCCCATTTTGCAGAAGAGATGTGACAGTATTCTTTTACAGTCTATATTTGTACACCAGCATTCACAAGTAGTGCACATAAAAAGTCATAGCCAGGCATGTTGGTCATATTTGTAATCCCAATCTTTGGAAGCCTGAGGTAGTAAGATAGTGATCATGTTCAGGACTATCCCTGTCTCAAAAATAAAAGTCACTGGACAGTGCTCACCTTTAATCCCAGCACTCAGGAGGCAGAGTCAGGGTGATCTCTGTGAGATTGAGACCAGCCTGGTCTATATAGCAAGTGCCGGGCCAGCTGGGGCCACAGGGAGACCTTGTCTCAAAAAGACCCCCTGCCCCCCCCCCAAAGAAAACTGCCCATTTCTGGTATGCAGGTCTTGGAAACTAAGAAAATGTGAAATAAAAAAATCTTAATTCTTAAATGTTCCTAACAAAGTTACTGTTTACTCTCCACTTTAATTTTCCTCTGGCATACTAAAAATTAAATGTAACAGCATAGAAACATGCAGAAGAGATACTCACTGTCAAATTTTTTACTTCTCAACCACTAAACAAATTTTTCCTGAAACATATTTCAAGGATACAAGTATAATTTGTTTGGTAAGTTATTTGACTCTAGGTAATTTGACTGAGATGTGCGAGTGTGTGTTTGTATTCATTGTGTTATGAGAGCACTGGTAGAAGGGGTTAGAATGTATTAAAATAAAAAGAACTCATCACTCTTTTTAAAGCATAACTTTATTTCCTTTTGAACAGTGACTTGGATATGTCAGAATTCCTAATTAATCCAAATGCAGGCCCTTGCCGCTATAATTTGATTGCTGTTTCCAACCACTACGGAGGGATGGGAGGAGGACACTGTAAGTTGACAGTCTACCCAGTCTACCTTTTAACCCAAACCATGTTTGCAATCAGTAGACTTTTTTCCACAAGACAATACTGTTTAAAAGAAAAATGTCAGGTGTTTTTCACATATACTCATTGTTCATTATTTAGAAATGAATCTACTTTTTAACTTATCTTAACCATCAGGATTTAGTTCATTATACCCAATTGAAGGCACAGGAAGAAGCGTGGTTGGTCTGTGTGTGCCTTTCCCTCCGCTGTTCCTCCTCTTCCCTTTGTAGCATGTTTTGTGCTTGTGTTCTTATAGTTGTTGATTTAATTGATGGGTACTATTGACCTCAATAAATCTTTTTCTCTTAAGATTTTTTTCACTTATCCATCATACTTGGGGTCTGTTGAATCTGTTGTTTCTTACCACTAGTGATTTACATCTATTATTACTTTATTTCTCCACTCTCAATTGCCTTTAACTTCCTGCTACCCTAAGACTAACAAATATCATCGCTTATGGTCTGCTATATGAGTTTCTTTTGAGCTATGTTCCTGGAAGGGAGACTTCTTGGTTTAACTGAGTATGCCAGGTTGTAGTTCAATGCTGGTTGTAACAGTCTATATGCTCCACTTGGTAGATTTTTTTGTTCCAAGGATACATCTATTGTTTGTTGTTTCTGATGCACAGTTAGATTTTATTAACTAATTAAAATTGTTACAATTTTATTCACAAGTGACAGTCTTAGAATTTTTTTATAATCACTTTGAAATGATGTTTCCTGTCTTAAAACAAGCTAGAATTATGTTTTTTCCTGTTTGATGAAATAACTAGACTATAGAAAGTAACTGTTCCCTGCAAGTCTACCAGAACTCACCCATTTCTGTTTATGTCATTATTGGCCTACTCAGTTTCCTTTTCCCTGTTATGTATATTTGGGTTTGGGTTTTTGTTTGTTTGTTTGTTTGTTTTTTTCTTTTTATCTTTTTGAGACAGGATCTCCCTATAGCCCCGTCTAGCCTGGAACTCACTAAGTAGACCAGGGTCGCCTTGAACTCACAGAGATTCGCCTGCCTCTGCCTCCCGAGTGCTGGGATTAAAGGCGTGCGTCACCATGCCTGGCCTCCTATTATGTATATTTGGACATTTTCTACTTCTCTAAAAGTGTGTCACTTTCATCCAGACCTTTCAGTTTATAGGAATAAATACTCTTAGGCTGTATTTTGTCCTTTTTTCATTCTTTTCTCACTGTTACTTTTTAATCAGACTCCCCAGAGGTCTATCTTGCTAATCGAAGAGTTTTACTGATTTGGTGTAGTTATATTTATTCTGTTTCATAAGTTTCCTCTTTCCCTTCTTTCGTTTCCTTAAGTCTTCCTATTAGCTTGCTCAGATACTACAAATGCCACTCTGGATCTCTTTGGATATCATCATTTAATTGTCAGACTCTATGTCCTTTTATAGGTTTTGTCTCATATGATCTTGTTAGACCTTATCTTATCTCTTAAGACTGAAAATCTGTTCCTGTCACTGGAAGTACATTGTCTACTGTTGTCCTGAGTTCAGATTGGTATGCTCACTGCTTTACTCAACTGACTTTACGTAGGTTTCAGAGTATAGAATAATAAACAGCATTCACAACCATTTGGTGGTGAATCCTAGGTATAGCTTCAGCTCTTCATCGGAGCTGATTATTAGCCAGAGTGCAGAAGTATAACTGTTGTAGCCCATGGGTGTTTTCAACAGTACTGTGCCTTGGTTCGGGTGACCTCATCACTGTTGATTTCTGTGGCAAAGAACCAGGCAGTTAGTTGTCCCATTTGTGAAATTTAAAGCTTTCTTTTAAACGCTCTTCTCATTGCTGCCTCTAGCCATAATATCCTCCTTTGGCTCTCCTCTCCCCCTGCTTCTGTGGTTTTGCCCATGGTTGGTCTGGGAGTATGGGGGGTCAGCAACAGATAAACTAGGAGACATTTCCTTGACATGGTAGGCACTCAGTATAAAAGACAATTGCCTTAATTTCTTATTTATTTCTAAAATAGAAGAAAAATAATTTTTCTTTTGTGATAGGCAGAATTACTTAGAGGTCATATCCTTTAAAGTACCACTCTCAGAAACCATGACTGTAATAATAGTTTGGAAAACTTCTTACAGTTGTGTTAGTTCAGTTACTAGGTAGTTTATAGAGAGCTTGGAATGAAGAATGGGGCACTTTTTAACTCAAAGATCAAAAGAGCTTTTAAAATCACTTTTCCACTTTCTCATGTTCTACACTTGTATTAAAGACAGAAAAACTCTAGTGTAAAGAAAAATTACAGATTAATAATGTCATAGGAAATTTAAATAATTGATAGGAGAAATTGCAAACTTGAAAGTCAAAGACAGTCCTATTTAAACAAAACCCTGCTACCTAACAGCTACATGACCTTGAACAAATTGACCTTTTTGAAGCAATTTCCCATCTCTAAAGTTAGAAAAATACTGATACCCTCCTTATGAAATGCTATATATGAAATACATGCACTGAGCCTGGTCACAGTATCACTGCATTGATGTTAATTACCCTTGTCTTCAGTGTCATTAGTTTTGTTTTTCTGTTCTTTTCTTTTTTTTCCTGAAACAAAAAAAGTCACAAGTTTCATCTGAAACAAAAGGTATATCTTAGGCATTTAAATTGCCTGAAATTATTCTAAAAACCTTTAACAGTTAACTCAAGTGATTGTATAATAGGCCTCATAAATGATTATCATGCAATTTGATAAATATTCTTTATAGTTTAGAGGATTCCTCAGAAAACCTTAGATATTTTAGTCATAGAAGTAATTATATTTTTTCATTAGATACTGCCTTTGCAAAAAATAAAGATGATGGGAAATGGTACTATTTTGATGACAGTAGTGTCTCCACTGCATCCGAAGACCAAATTGTGGTAAGTGTGTCTATAGTTCTCAAAAATCATGGTATCAACTGTGTTTAAAGAGTGAATTTAGCCGGCTGTGGTGGTGCACGCCTTTAATCCCAGCACTCAGGAGGCAGAAGCAGGCGGATCTCTGTGAGTTCAAGTCCAGCCTGGTCTACATAGTGAGTTCCAGGACAGCTGGGGCTACAGGGAGACCCTGTCTCAAAAAGACCAAAAAAAAAGAGTGAGCTTAAATTTAACAGATGGAAGAGTGAGACAGGAAAGCATGTACTTGTTTCACATGTGCCGGGCCCGATGGTCCATATTCTAGTGATTTTAGTAGCTTAGAGACACTTTTTCTGATTTAAAGAAGTGTAAAACTGCCCAAGTGAAATTTTGTCTTCAAAAGTACTATCAAAAAATATAAACTGCAATGTGAAAATTTTTCTGGCAGTTTTTCAAATGAATCAATAAAAAGTAGTTTTTCTCTAGAAAAGCAGGAACAGCTCTAAATTTTCTGAGGCACTGTCTACTTGTAGTCATAGTGTTTAAACAGATCTGTGGTCTTTAAAGTCA